ATTAAATTTATTGCTCCATCTTGGAATTTATTGATTTTGACATACTATTTGGAAAAGGAAGAGTGGAAATATTGCTCAATGGTTAAGTTAGTGCATTATGGATTTTCACACAATGATCTATCTTTCTTGATATCCATTGGAAGTTGGCAAACCAATTTGTTTATTTGGAAAGGATAACTCCATATGGAGGAATACCGACAATGGGAACAATGCTTGGAATTTTATTATCTACATCATCAACGACTTGGTCACATATCTTGGAACTAGCTAGATGAATTGGCTTATTCATTCTGGAATTCTAAACTTTAGTGGGAGGACTATGGTATCTTGTGAAGCATATATGATGGTATGTTTAGTTTATTTACACTTTTCCGAAGGTGGGAAAAGAAAAGGCTTCACGTCATTATTTATTTTGGTAGCCTTATGGTATTTTCTTTGCACTCCCACTAGAGGTCTGATTATTTATTTTATCTCATTCGTTGATGATTGATATGGTTATGTTTATACTATTTTAAAATACAAGTCGGAATGTTTTAATTGTGCTTGTCATACTATTACTGAAGTGGAAAATCAGTTGATTAAAAGATTTCATAGTTTTAACAACCGATTGGTGGGGGAAGTACACTTCAGGAATATATCGTTTGTATGTAAAGAGCATGGAATTATTCACCATTGTTATATACCGTACACTCCACAATTGAACGGAGGAATTGACTGTCTTGTATACCCCCTTGTTTGTTTGGAAAGAAGCATTGTGTACTGTCGTTTGTTGTATCTTTCTCCATCTAGTACAGTCACTTGGCTGGAAGGAAATATTCTATTTTGGCATGAAATTCACAGTTATTACAAAGCGCACACCAGGAATTTTTTCATGGTTCTTCTAGTGGATCAAAGGGTGTTTTCTTAGTTATCTGGAAAATGAATACTGGTGGAAAGTAGGAACACAATAATTTTATCATCAATGGTGGAATTATTGACAATCATACTGGAATATAATCTTGACCCCAAGGAAACTACAAGTGACACTCCCAACATGACATGCTTAGGATAAGTGGGAGGAATTAACTTGGAATGTAATCTCTGGATAATTGTTATGTGATTTTGGGGGGGAAGTCACTCTAAATACTAGAGGAAAACTCCTAAGAAGGATTAATTTTTTCATCAATGTCAACTATGAGTGGAAGAAATGCGGGAAGGAATAAACTCAATAAGGAAATATATAGTTTGGGAAGTTATTATCATACCAAACAACCGCAAGCCCATTGTTTGTAAGTTTTTTTTTGTAAGGAAATTTGGCTCATTGGAATATTATAATATCACTCTTGCTATTCAGTTCTTTACACAAAAGGAACATATACTTTATGGAAACTCTCTCTCCTGGAATATAGGGAAGAGGAACTAAAGACATGGTTTGCTAATTGAGTATATTAATGTATGGTCTTATAACAAGCTTCACATCAATGGAATAGCAGGTCATATGTTTTTTTTGAATGAAGCAAGGCGGTCATCTACAAATGTAAGTGTAAAATAGTTTACATTATATTGTATAAATTAACATTCTTTGGCTGTTTGTGCATTGATAACTCACATTGATGGAAGTGTAAGCTTGGTCATTTTCTAACTTTCATATGAAAGGAATTTCTGGAGCTTCCAATGTTTCGGGAGTGGAAATACATAGAAAATATTTTGAAGTGTTTCTCTATGGAAAATTGCAAATATGTTAAAAATACCTTTGATAAAGGAAATCATACTTAGTGAGGAATTATATTTGAACTCCTGAGGAAAAATGGAACAATAAATGGTACTGGAATTGATATGTATCTTCATTATATTATCATACCTTAGCTACCGGAATTTATGTTGCATTCAAGCAATGGAAGGACAGACGAGCAGCTAAGGGAATCTCACACATCATATAAGATTGTGGAAAGTGCATCACAACCTGTCACTTGTTCTGAAATTTATATTAAAGGTAAACACATTGAGGAAGTTATTATTCTATCTACGAGATGAGAAATAAGTCCAGGTACGCATATTCAATTATTGTTTTAAGTACTAATATGGTGCAGGTTCACTGACTGAAGTCAGGAATTTCTTACAAAGCATGGTTACTGATGGAACTTCATTTAGTGATTGGATTTGATATGTATGTAGTTTTAAAATTTTATTCAACATGGTTATCTTATACTTGACTCGATGTGGAATTATTCATATTATTGATATATGTGGTTGAAAATAATTGATGTGGAAATTCACTTGAGGAAACAAAATACTCAAGGTGCCTATAAAGGTGGAATTACACTCGAGGAAATAATACTCGAGACGCCGAGGACAACTATGCTGGAATAATTAGGCGGAAATTTAAAGTCTCTCGTGTCACAGCAAGGAAACATATTGAAGGGAAGTATCACTATATTTATATATTTGTGGGTTTTCAACATTGTGTTAATATGATTGTTGATCCCTTGACTAAGCCTCTTAGTCAGGAGGTATTTGGCAAGCATGTTAAGGCTATGGGTTTACGAATATTTGAATGGTCGTTTGGGACAAGTGGGAGATGTCGGAATTATGTGTCCTGCAACTATATTCAAATTACTAGGAATTACTAATATTCGGAATACCTCATTATGGAATTGTACATGTATTTATACATGGAATTGATTTACATGTTTAGCATGGAATTGTTACTTGCTGGAATGTACTTAAGTGATATATGCTTAAGGAAGCTGGTCGATTATCAGTGGAATACAATATATTATTTATATTGGAAAGACTACCCGGGTACATTGATGATTGAAAGGAGCTAGATCGTATAGTTAGATTACAGCCCTAACGTTGATCTACGTAATTAGAGGAATTTACACTCTATTATGGCGCGTTGCTCACAAGCGCGTGCTCCGGGGACATAACGGGTAGAATCCGTTAACAGACAAATATGATCGTGGTTGGTAATTTGATCTGGACTCTATCCCGGAAACTAGTGGAAGAAAAACTAGGAATCTTATATCTGTATAAGAGGTGGACTCTTTGGAAAGACAGTATAAGAAGGTCCCTACCCCCTAGCCTCAGAGATGCGAATTGTGAGCGGCACCACGGATAAGCGCAGAGGAATAGGGGGTAGACCAAAAACCTAAATTTCTTACAGGTGTCGCGGGAGCCATGGACGTTCAGCAGCGGTGATGAAACAGTGCTCCAGGTCAACTCTTCAGTTTCTAAGGAAAGTGCATCACAACTTTTAGACAACTCTCTCAATCTTTTACCGCACCCTCTATCGATCTTATCATGAGGTCATGCCAAGTTTCAGCCTTTTTAGACTTCATTTTTAAATCTTTTTAAAAATCAACAATCATTTACCTCCATTAAATATCTTGAAATTAACTAATTCTCTAAATATAGCAAAGGAACCCAAAAGGTGCCAAAGTTTGAATACATGATCAACTTTTTTAATACACATTATGTATTTTTTTGTATACATTTTCCATATACATGAGCAACATTTTTCTATACACATTTAATATTTTTTAAATACTTGATTAACATTTTTGAAATGTTTTATGTGAGAGTGTTTTTGGTAATATATATCAAATATGTTTGGAATATTTGGAAGTATAAATAAAAGTAAAAAAATAAAGGAAAAGGTAAAAACAATAAACATTGGAAAAAAGAAAAAAAAATCATCTCCACCCGCACATTGTGACGATGCAGTACAACGCTCTCTTTAGGCGAGGCTGCCCTATAGCCGGACATAAGGGTACTGCTTTTCTTTAACACAGTACAATTGAAATCGCTCACATACACTAAAGTACACTTACCCTTATGAACACAACACGCACATCCTACCCCTATAAGCACCTCCGAGAGACTGAGTTGGTATAGTGTCTTGAGATTTTATAAAGTCACCATAGACGTCTCGCAGTTGACCGAATGTCTTCTCCCACTGAACGAACATCGCCGGAGAACTGAAATAAATCCAAAAATAATGCGAGCACAAAATGTCAAGTATAGAACTTGAACCCTGATGAGCTGGATACCACTATCCTTGTGTCCTTCTAACCATCTAATCACAAATTGGTTCGCGACATGAGGGCACTACTGATTGGACAAGCAACACAGCTATCATACTTTCCCCGGAAAAAAACACACAGCTATCACTCTGGTCGGCCTGTTATACATTATCTTGTGTACACAACATAACAATATCATCTGATTTTATTTAATTTCCATAATTTGTTGCAACAACTTAGTCGTATTACCATACGAATCAACTGATCACATGTTGAATTATTTATTCCACAATGGCATAAGTATAGACACTTATTCATAAGGCGTGGATACACTGTCTAACTAGCGAAGTTTCGCTGGGTGTAGCAGTCGAGGTTGCCCCCGGTGGCCGTGCCGAGTATGCTGCAGTAGCGCATGTAGTAGCCGATGCGATCGACGTTGGCATCGTTCTGGCCAATGCCACACTCGAGCCCGCCGTTGATGATATTAGTGATCACGCCGTATCCGGGCACCCGACCGGCAGCGGTGTCGGCGGCCGTCGGCGTCCAGCGGCCTAGGGCGACGTCGTGGCTTGACGGCTTGTTGCCCTGCGCCGTCATCCAGAACCACATCGCCGTCCTGAACGACACCACCGCGTCCGTAGAGACCAGGTCCGGGTTGCTCACCAGGTCCTTCCCGATGGCTCTCCCGGCGAGATCGTAGTTGGACTGCCTGGTCATTCGCACGAGGAATTACTGGTTCATCAGAACAATCTTTTCGGCAAAGCAACCAAGACCCAGCTGGGTATTTGCTGTTATTAACAATTGTTGCACGCGAAAACGAAAGCTTATTTGGATCAGGTCGGGATTAGCGGCTAGCTAGAATGTCAACACTGCTGTACTTTTCAACCAGATTTTTCTACAGATTATTTGAGCCTGTGATATTTGGGTTGACCAAGTATCATTTTGCATGTGGAAGATGCTTCAAAGTAGTAGGCCATAATTTGCGATTTTGCTCACCCTGTCAATTGGATGGGTCCCCGTCCATAGTAGGGTGGGGACGTGGCCTTGTTTATCTCCTCCTTGAAGCAGTAGCCCCACTGGAACTGGTCGGCGGCGCCTCTCGTCCCGCCTGCACGTTGACACGGCATGCACAAACACGTACTTCAGTTAATCAAGGCAGCCACGAATTCCATTGAAAACAACAATCGAAATCAACACTAACTGACATACCGGTGGTCTCGTGTGAGGTCTGGCCGAAGAAGGCGGCGAGCTCGCGCTTGACATCGTCGGCGCTGCCGGTGGTGCCGAAGCCCGGGAAGGTGTTGGCGGCGGCGATGAAGGCGTCGTACGTGTAGAACCCCCTGGCCGGGCACAGCGAGTTGTCGCGGTTGGGCAGCATGCTCGCGTACATGGACTGCGTGATGACGGAGCCCACGCCCTGCGCCGCGGCGCCGCCCACCGCCACGGCGAGCAGAAGCGCGGCGAGCGCAGCAAACCGCGCCATGCTCACTAGCTCACCTACAGCTGACCAGCTCGTGTAATGTAGTATAGCTCAAGGAGAGTGGAGAGAGGCCTGTGTGACGAAGCTGCTGGGTCTGCAGCGGTACTTATAGCAGCTCTGCTCGGGTGCAGCGCGGGGATAACGCGGTGATTATGCACGGTTCGTCGCGGGCGTATACTTTTCCACGTTGCGCCCGTCTTTGCGGGGCGAAAATTTGACGGGCCGCGGTGTCAGGACGATGGAGGCATGTGGCGTATCTTTTTTTTTAAACAAGAGGCATGTGGCGTATCGTTATCACTCTCGCAGCCGCGTGCTTGCAGACGCATGTGGCCTCCCATGTATACATATCTCTACGTGAATTCCACACGTCTGCACAAACAAGTTCTTTTCAGGGCGTTGGCGATACGCGCAGACTTCTTGGGACGGTGTACAGATACACATGGCTGCTGAACATCATGTGGTTGTACTGCTACTGTTTTTTTGGGGGTGCAGTGCCTCGCGTTGGTCAGCCTTGTACAGCGCATGGATGGGAGGACTGGAAGAAGCTTCTACGTCGTCGACGGCTCGTGGAAAAACTCCAGCTCGGCGTCCAATGGTCGAATCCAGACCGAACACGAAGCCATCAAATATCACATGGATTGGGACTCGGTAAAGATAGGTGGTTGGAGCAGGGAAGAGATCAGCGTTTCGTCAACAAGAGGAATTTCCTGTTGTATTTTAAATTTAACACATTAGATAAAACATGGTAGTAATCGGACCAAATTTTGCGTTGAACAAACTAGACTGGCAAATGACAATTTGCGTTGAACAAACTAGACTGGCAAATGTGTAGATAAGTGACGCAAAATATGTACATCTCGCTTGCCAGTAGTAAGGGCATCTCCAACCCCGCCCCCAAAAACAGACGCGGACGTAGATAGTGGTACAGGAGCCGGTCATCTAACGAGTCGTACACCTTCGTTCGCAATACAGACAGATTTGGACATAATTCATGTAAATGTGGCGGAATTCATGCAAATGGACATAAGTTTGATATATAATTTACATAAACCAGACAATATTTTGTCCATTCAACTAAAATCTACTCCCTCCGTTCCTAAATATTTGTGTTTTTAGAGATTTCAATTGGACTACCACATATGGATGTATATAGACATATTTTAGAGTGTAGATTCACACATTTTGTTCCGTATGTAGTCACTTGTTGAAATCTTTAGAAAGACAAATATTAGGAACGGAGGGAGTATATACTAACTTGCAGCAGACGGTGACCTCGTGCGCCTGACCGGATTGGCCAGCGACACCCCCGTTGCCGTCCGTGCATCATCGTCGTCGTTGTGGGAGTGGTCCTTCTAGCAGCAGCCTTGTCCGTCCGCCCCATGACACTCACGGAGGAGCCGTTTCGCCTCCTCATGCACCATGTGGAGGGCCGCCTTGGCCAATGCCAACCCTTCCTGGGGAACCCTGCCATTGTCCTTGCCGACAGCGGCAGAGGTCTCGCTGAACAACCATTCTTTCTTGATCTTGGCAAGCTCCCTATCGAGGCGAAGCAGTCGTCGTGTGGTGGTCACCGACCAGTCGTGAGCCTAGGCCTACGTGAGGTCGGGATCCGCGAGGACCCAGGACGACGCGACATTGGACTTTGCGAACATCACTCGGTGCGCCGCATTGTGCCGCCTTCTTCTCCGTCGAGACGATGCTCCGCGATGAGGATCCGTTGTCGCGGCCACCAAGGTAATGGAGAAGGCGCATGCGTGCCTTCGCAATCACCGGGAGCACTTCTCCTCAAGGCCTTGTCGCATGATGATGTCATACACCGGGGGTGGCTCACCGAGAGGAGCCCGACAGAAGGCCTGCCACACACCCTAAAAGGCCCAGCAACGAACGGGAGACCGAAGAAGAAGATAAGCATCGTGCAATCAACTTAACCTCCAAGATGGTATGGCAGCAACCCTAGATTGGATTTCTCTGTCTCTGTAAAACCCTAGCCTCTTTGGGTACATAAAGGTTGCTAGGGGCTTTCATTCCCATCGACTCATGTAGACAGAACTCTTGGTAGTCATCTTATACAGACCATTGTAAACCCCTTGCATGAGGTATCCCTCCACCATGAATAACAAACACGAGCAGGATGTAGGGTATTACTCTCCGGAGGCCCGAACCGGAGTAAAAAAACCCACGCGATCTCTGCACTGAGACTTTGAGCTATGCCAGGACCCCTACCGAGGGATTAACGAGTTTCTGCATTGTTAGTTAGCGCGCCAGGCATGGGTTGCCTCGGCTCGAGACAGATCTCAGATCGGATCTTCCTCGGCCTCCGGCGGCATGAATTCCTCAACAACTTCGAGGGCACGTACCAGCCGACGCAGCATATGCATGGTGCGCCAACTGACGGTGCAGAAAATCGTCAGATCCCTCAGTAGGGGTCCAAGCATGACTAGAAGTCATAGATTGGAGGTTGCACGGGGTTTTTACCCAGTGTAACACCCCGATAATCAAGATACAGTAACCTCACCCTAATGTGCCAGGTCATCATGTTTTACTAAGCCATTTTTACACTTGATGAAAACCAGGGTGAAATTCAAATTCCAAAAAACTAGTCAAATTATAATTTCTTCAAACTGGCAAGAAAAAAATGTTTGAAGGGTTAAAAATAATCACTAGCTAATTTTCATGTAAGAATTAACATTTTAAAAAATATAAACATGCTCCTGGATATTAAAACAGTGGACCAACAATGTTAAGTAAGCCCATTTAAATTCAAAACTAAATTTGAACTGTTCCAATTGGCCCAAACTTTTTGTGCAACCTAGTAGTGTTGTGCTTGACTTATGTGTCAAGTTTCATCATTTACAAAAATCATTTAGTAGCTCAAACTGATGCAAAAGAATGATTGAAATGTTTGGCAGAAAAGAAAAAGGAGAAATACTAGAACCTACTGCTACTTTGGGCCCTAAGTAACTACAGGGTGGTCCGGCCCAATTTCGCTGGCCTTTCCCCTAACCTCTCGCTAGAGGCAGGGAGGCAAGGCGCGCATGCCGCCCATCCGCCGATTGCCTCGCTGTCATGCATCCAAGGCTTTCATGTTGGCCAAATAAGTCGCGGCCACGGGCCGGTCGTGTCGGGCGTGTGCGTGGGTGTGAGTGTGTGCATGTGTGTGGTGCACGGGGGTGCCCATGTAGATAGACACCATAGGCGTGCGGGTGTGTACGTTCTGTTGGCGTGCCACGCGGGGCGATCGACCCGTTCTATTGGCGCTCACCGCGAGTCGCACGCGTCCTAGCACGGCGCGGCCAGAGCGAGCAGAGCGTGGGCACGATCGGGGAAGAGTGGAGGCGTGGGTGCGTGCCCGGTGCGCTGGCTTGGGGTATAAAACCGTGTGGTGACATTGTAACAGTGTGGCATATCGAGTTGTTGCTCGAGGGAAGAAAAGACCGTTCGTGCGGCGGCGTTCGTGCGTCGGGAACTCCACCGTGTCCACCGTCACCCTTTATTTCCTTCTTCTTCTCTTCATCTCGGGCTAAAGTGAGGCGACAGATAGGGAGAGATAGGCTAGAGGGAGAGCTAGGGAAGACTAGACACCAACAATTGGCATCAGAGCGAGGTGAGGGAGCTCGTCGACGACGATGGCCATCGTGCCGCATGGCGCAGGCGGGAGCTCGGTGTCGATGCCGATGCCGATGCTCACACCGGACAACTACACGGTGTGGGTGATCAAGGCATAGGCCATCCTCGATGCTCACACACTCTGGGGGGCGGTGGCGCCGGTGGTGAACGGAAAGAAGTGCAAGACAGTGCGTGCGATGCTCCTCGATGCGTTGTCGGAGGACGTGCTGCTGCAGGTGGCGACGAAGCTCACCGCCAGGGAGGTATGGGACTCTCTGAAGGTGAGGTTCGTCGGCGCCGATCGGGTGCGGGCGGCCCGGCTCGGAACGTTGCGTGGCGACTTTGATCGGCTGCACATGGCGGATGGCGAGGCTCTGGATGCCTGCGCCGGGAGGTTGGCGGTGATGAAGGCACGCTACATGAGCTTGGGAGCGACGCTGGACGACATGGCGCTTGTGAAGAAGCTCTTGGACACCATCTCCGACCGCCTGTACCCCACTGTCGCCGGGATCGAGCAGTTTTGCAACGTCGATGAGATGGCCTTCGACGAGGCGCTCAGGCGGCTGGTCCTATAGAACCTACCTTTTAGCTTTTATGGCACTCTCTTGTCACAGAGAATGCCAGGAGCTAGGCGCCGCTTCATCCATCCGGCTTTGATTTGATTATTCACATCTTTATCGATATCCCCATTCTTCTGCAGCATTAACCTCGAATATCGAAAAGTGTCCTTCCGAGGCACCATTTGTCCATCAAGGCTGGACATGTTTTCTCATGGCCTTATTAAAAATGTTCATATCTATGGTTTTAAACACAAGTTGATATTTTTGTAGCACAATAATTAGTATATGTTTTCCGCCTATAGGGTCAAGCCTATCCAACACACAAAGTTTTTATCTTTTTATCCTCTATACACAAAAGAGTGGGCACAGTGGTGGTATTGATGAACGACACCCCATGCAGAGGTGACAGTGACCATGGGGAAGAGATCAAGAACATCAACAACCCGGAGATGTGGCATGCACACATTGGTAGAACAATTACACTCTGAAATATAAATGAGTGTTTTAGTGGTAAGTCATCATTGCCTTTGTTCCCGTTCCATCATGCACAATAACTTTCATGTCAAATGTGTTGTAGAAACGTTTTTTCGTTAAATATGTTTCTATGTCTTGATATATTTTAGTGTGGTTGTAAATTTATCCATTCATGTATCACTCTGAGGAACATTTTTGATTGAGAGAACAAATAAAGGAAGAAAAGGAGAGCCATTTGACCGTAAAAAAAAGAAGAATTCGGAAATGCAGTAGAATATATGTGCCCGTTGCAATGCATGGACAATTAAACACTCCTCTGTAAACAAATACTCCTTCTGTACGAAAATTCTTGTCTTAGATTTG